AGTGGACTCGGATGGAAGGCGCCTAACGCGTGGCTCTGGCTTCTGATTGGTCAATAAAGCCTGTTCTGTTGTACCGGTCTTTTTCCTATTAGGGCTCGGGTATTCTACACTGGTGGCATCGGACGCGTTTGAATTACGCGAATCGGACCCCAGCCCTTTCTCTTCTATGGTCAACAGAGGCGAAGACCCTTAAATGCCAGCTGAATTTGTCATGGCGGTCATCCGATGTCCAATAATGTGGATCTAAAGGCAGTGCCCGGCATTAGGACTACTGCACCTGAAGAGGCATTGGCAACTCAGCGACAACGACATGGCCATCACAGGCCAGCTGGACTGCAACTGCAAAGGAACCTAGGATGCATGAAGCGGCCTTTCTGCAAGTCAACAATAGCAAATCCCCTCGTCTACTATTTGATTGGGTAACTATCCTGCCAGATTTGTGGTGTCGAGTAGTGTCGAATTGGTCATTTTGTCAATCATGGACAGTGCAAGGCACCAGGCCAAAAGCTGAGGACAGCTTCACTATTGAGTGGGCGGCAATGTGGTGTAGAATACCCGGGCCCTAATAGGAAAAGGACCGGTACAACAGACTAGGCTTTTGTCCAATTAGGAACCAGAGACACACGTTAGGCGCCTTCCATCCGAGTCCACCACACTGGCCACGCCGTTCATTATATACTGCACCTCAGTCATGTCCTTCTCTGATTGGCTGCTTACCATCCTCGAATGGCACTGAAACGGAGACAGATACATGATTGGCTGAGGTTAGGCGGTCCAACATGTCTGCGCCCTGATCCGTCGCCAGAGCACGCTACGCTACGCAATAATATACCTGGTTTATGATGATGAATGGGCAGGCCGTGGTGTGGCGTCGGATTAGGGCGCAGACATGTTGGACCACCTGGCCGCAGCCAATCCCGTGTCTCTCTGCGATCCAATGGCATGCGGGAATGGAAGGCAGTCAACCAGAGAAGGACATGGATAAGATGCAGTATATAATGAGCGGCGTGGCCAGCGTAGTGGACTCGGATGGAAGGCGCCTGACGCGTGGCTCTGGCTTCTGATTGGTCAATAAAGCCTGTTCTGTTGTAGCGGTCTTTTACCTATTAGGGCTCGGGTATTCTACAGTGGTGTAGCGGAATGGCAGGCGGCAGCCATATTGGTGACGGTGGTGAGCGCGGCGCGGAGGCGACGTCACGTGACCGGT